ACCGCTAGAAATGTTTAGCATGATCAAAGGGAGCTTCTGTTTATCCAATATGGTATTCAATTAGTTTCAGGGAATCTATAATCAGTTTTTGGTTTAAAAATAAGGCAATAATCTGGTGATTAGGGAACTTTAAGGCATTCAAAAGGAGGACTTCATCATCAATAAATTTAGAAGGCCAAGTCAACCTTCAAATAAATATATTAGCAGAGAACAAAAAAATGAACACACACACAAAGAAAGACCATGGCACAAATTAGTGAAACATTCTTGTTGGCCAGCCCCATGATGTCACAAAAGAACGTTTTAGTTCTTTTAACATTCCAACACAAAATCGAAGCTTCAGACAGGAAAAAGAAAAAAAGAATCTATACTCTGATGCAGAGCTAATCTATATATTAAAATCGGAAGAAATAGAAAAAGAAAACAATTTTACTTACGAGTTTGTATCTTTCCACTTGTGAATGTTAGCAACTTCTTCTTCATTCTTTGCCGATCCCAATTTATCCAGCTCCTCTTTATCATTTCTTTCCTTCTTAAGTTGAAAGCATTCATGTTCCTGAAAATGTATAGAAATTCATTGCCTACAAGCCCCTTTGCAAGAAAATATCCTTTAAAACAAGTATACATTATAAAGATTCATGATGGAGGATTGATACTTTCTAAAGAAATAGCCAATGGCTTGAGAATGAAGCAATGGAAATATCTAGAATCATTAAAATGCCAAACTAAATACCTGAATTTTCCTCTACGCAAGCACTATCCATAATAAAATATCATCTATTTTAGTTTATGTGTACATATGAACATATATGCAGGGTCATAGTTGTTCTAATTAGAGGTTTTTAACAGTAATATAAGTATAAACTTCCTCTTTTGTACGTAGAGAAGTTCATTCATGTATCCAAAACAAATAATCTCCAAAGCTCAACTATCACTGTACTAATAGATAGCCTTTTCAGGGTTGCATTAAATGTCAATTAATTTGTCGTTATTCGCCTTGGATTTTTCTACACTAGACTCAAGCCTCTGTTAGTAGCCTCACAAGCATGTTCTCTTAGGTGCAGGTCACAACTGAGATGTTGTCTCTCACACCCCAAAACCCATTAAGGTGAACCCTTCACTACCACCAGTTACTTCTTCCCCTATTCTCCCAACAGAATGCAAAGAGGATTAACTACAACTACATATAGGCAACTGATGCTTATTGCATCTGTTTATAAGAAAAGTGGTTATACCACTATCAACAACCAAATTTTACATGTAACATTTAATTACAATAATAAGACAGCAAAAAAGAAACCCCTTTTAGAAATTATCTAGCGTCAAAAGACCCTCAGCCATTTCAATACAGAATTATCTCAAACATAGACAATGCTTCAAAATAAGCAATCATTCATTTAAGAACAATAACAATCTATCAAATAAAATGAAGAAAATCAGTGAACTGAAATGCAATAAGTTAAATTATACATACCAACTGTGTCAACTGCTTGGAGACACGTCCCAGCTCCTTCTGTAATTGCAATTAACACAACACACACATCAGAACTAACTTCATTTCTTAATGAACAGAAACAATACACAAATTAAAAGAATAAAAATTGAAAAAGAAATCAGCCTAACCTTTAAGCGCTGAATTTCAAGATTCTTGGAAGAATCATTAGTGGAAGGAGAGGATTTAAATAGAAGGCGAGGGGGAGAGGGATCAGAAGAATGAATTGCCGGTCTCTGAGAGAGCTCTCTTGGAGGAGAGTAACTGATGAAAGTGGGAGGTTCTTGATGTTGTTGTTGTTGTTGAGAAGAGAGGGCGAGTTGTTCAACTTGGATGAGCTGGTGCAAGAAGTCGTCGCCCCACTCATCCGCAACTTCATTTTCTCCTGAATTCATTTTTTCTTGCTCACCTTGGGAGATTGGGGAATTTCGACTCTGCTTCTTTACATATGTTAGCGTTAGCGGGCATTTTCCTGTTTGTAAAAGGTTTGTGTTAGGGTTTGGCACTTAGGCTTAGGCTATTGGCCAAGACTGCGCTTATCAGTCCGTTCAAATTTGAAAATTGAAACCCAAATAAATGATAATTTTTACCTTATTACTTAAAATTCGCTACTTTTCAAAAATATTCACAAAGACAATCATTCAAAATACATGTCAATTTAACACCCTCTGTCAAAAATTACGACTTAATTTTTAAAAAACTATTCTCCAACTACCCTTGAATATATTTATTGTTGGTGTTAAACTCCCACATCACCTAGGAGACGAGGGTCTTAATCACTTATATAACATAAGTACACTTTCAAAAACCCAAAGACACATTTTCAGGACAAAACCATGCGGGCCTACCAACAGCCCAGCTTGTGTCCCAAAGCTGATAACCCTTATGGAGATGACATATACCAACAAAGTCAAAATCCTATATCGACTAGGAGACGAAGGTTTTAGTCGCTCATATAGAACAAGGACACCCTTAAAAACCCAAATGCACCTTTTCAAGACAAAAATGTCGAGCGTGCCACAAGTTGGCTTAACCCTACCATTTGACTGGAGACGGCATAATAACAGTTGACACTAGAATGAGGGCATGGGTTTATCTGGGCTAAGTGTGTTAGTTTATACCCACACCAACCCCTCGTCTAGGAAGTTGCATTGATGTCAAACTCCCACATCGGCTTAAAAACGAAGGTCTTGATCGCTTATATAGCATAATGACACCCTCACCACCCAGAGGCGCTTTTTTAGGACAAAATCACGTGGCCGGCAAGCAATCCAGTCTTTGTCCCAAAGCGAACAATATATTTGGGAACCCATCTACCATATGACTGAAGACGGCATACACCAACATTTATATCTTCTTTTAAAACTCCAATAGAATGTTTAATATTTTAATTTGCACTTAGATTTAACATATATTTTTTTCTTTTTCCCTTTTTATTTTGGTTTTGTTGGGGGTGTGGGTGTGTTGATTTTAGAAATACTCAATAAGTATTTCTTTTTATAGAAATACAAACGAATTCGGAAGTGTTCAACTTACAGGCCAACCAAAAATTAACCAAATTGTGCCAAGCCTGCGGCCGGGCATTCATGGGCCACCTCAAAAGAGATCAAACTAGCAAGCCCATAATCAATTCAGAGAATTGTTTTTGCATAGATTAGCAGGTCATGACGATAATGAACTTAAATATTAAGTGTACGAATATATGATGATTAAGTGAGATTGTCCCAAAAAATACAAGCAAGATTGTCAATTGTTAAGTAAATGATACTAGTAAATCATGATTTTGTGTATGATAATTGTTGATGCAAAAATATGTATTGGACTCTTGATAGGTCCAATAGAAAAAGGCTTTGTGCCAAATGTCCAACTCTGATTGGCCTAATAGCAAAAAACTTTATGTCCAGGCCTAATTCTAGTTGGTTTAATAGCAGATGGCTTCATGTCACGACCCAATCTCAGTTGGGCTCATGCCAAAAGCTCAACTGTGGTTGGACTGAAAGTTTAAGGCTCATTACCATAGCCAAACTCTAGGTAAGTCCATATTAAAACTCATCATGTGAGAGGATCATCCAGTAAGATGACTATTATGTAAGAAGGACCGCTTTATGGGTTAAACCATTATACAAGCTGGTCCACATCACGAGTCAGCCTATTCCACAATTTGGATCACTCTACGATCAAGGGCACCCTACGAATTGGGTCAACCTACATTTTGGGCCACTCCACGAGTTGAGTCTTTCTACAAGATGAGTTCAAGACTCCTATATTACATGAACCAGTTCTACGAGTTTCCTATTTACTCAAACTCCTATTGTGAGAACACCTAGTTCTACAAGGACTCAAGCCTCCTTAGAAGCTAGCTCTTTCATTAGGTAGACAATCACAACCCCTTTCTAGCTTGCTAAGTTATTGCTCCCAATAACCACCGCCTTTCCCTATTATAGAGTCGAGTTCCAACCACTCATCCTCGTAAATCCGAGTTCTGACCACTTTACGCCAGTAAGTAACGCTTTAGCTTCACACTCTTGGTAAACTCTTTCTGGCTCGCAGCCTTACTATATATTCCACAACCACACTAACTTGAGCATCAGAGTGCCTATGCCGACACCACACCAGTGTCCCCATGTCTTTGCATTTCACTCTTCTTTGTCTCTGTAGGTCTAGGAGATTATTAATGGCTTATTCCTCACACAATCAAATCTAAAGGACTTTTGGGTAGAATTTTCCATCTACAATAATATTTGCACTGATTGAAATGTGAACATGATAATCTCATTTTTAATTGAAATGTGAACAACATTAGGTAGAAGTTTTATGATAATCATATGGGGTTAAGGAGGATGATCGAAATAGTTGGTTTGGATGAATTGTACACATCATAATGATATCTCCAACTATTGCTCATTCCTTTACATGTCTTCATTCTTTAATTTAATGATTGATCCCACTTGAGAAGTTCTATTGATTTGCATATCCTAACAACAATTACAACCAAACTGATGTTATTGTCCATTTCAACGAATACCCTTGTGCTAAATAATAATAATAATAATAATAAAATATAGGTTTTAATTGTCAATTATAAAAAAAGAGAGAAAATATCGTTGAGATTTTCATGAAAATAAACGAGTTTGAAGTTTTCATTATCAAGTAAAGATGGATTTGAGGCTAAAATTAAAGTGAGTGTAATAAGGATCACACCTAGTGTGACTGTGTGAGTCCTCAAAGCAAGAAGGATCGACATGTTATTGAGGATTTGTATAAGGGTGGTTCGGATATTTATGTTAACATTTGCCCCACTTTAAAAGGGGCGTGGTATTAGTTAGGAGTTAGGATCCCAAGAATACGGGGTGGTTCAGTGGTCCCACTCGACAAACAGCAGCAAACAAGCCGACACGTGTTAGCAACCTATCTAAACGATAAAAAAATCACAGAACGCACCCCCGCAGCCCCACTTGCTTCAACTTGAAGCCGACCTTCACTTAATTTAATCATTTTTGCTGCAAAGTGTAATTATATTACAATCATATATTTACAGTAATTATCATCGTAATTAAAAATTAATAATAATAATAAACGCAGAATCTAGTCACGAAGACAAAGCCCATTACGCGAAGCAACCAAGAAGCCACAGCTACATGTACAGCTGCCTGTTGCTCTCACCGGTTTTATTTTTACTATTGGAGGATGAGATGAATGATAAGATTGAGAAAATATTTTTCTCTGACAATTTTACACTTGTTTTCAGCTTATTTTGCAGTTGTTAGTGAGACAAAGCCAAGATCAGGATACCCTTTTGTATCAACACTTGGGAAGATTCATCATGGTGGGTATTTTCTCGAGGTTTTCCGTGGGCAGAACGGGCCATCGACGAACTCAGAGCGCTCTTGTAAATACTCTCTTTTAATTGTTATTGAAGTTTCTCCTGTTGAATCGTTCGCGTGTGAATCAATTTGTTTCTAATTTTTGTGTTGGGTTTTTAAGTTTTTGAGTGATGCTGGGGACTTGGGTTGACCTTTTAATTCATTTAGGATACTTTTCTTGAATTGATTTGACTGGTTCTGATGTTGTTTGTTTCTAGATTTTGTTGGTTTTGTCGGTTTGACCATTTCCCATCTTTCATTTTTCCCTTGAATTTTGGTCTGCTTGATTCTATTTTCAATTCCAATGAGATTTTATCTCACCTGTAATACATTTTAGAATTTCATTAATTTATATTTGAGGTTCAGGTCTGCAATTAATTATCATATCTTGTTCCTTACAGACAATTGATTAAGCTTATTAATTTCGAGAAGAAATTGTTTTATTTATATGATTACCTCTTTACTTGCTTTATCCAATCCATTCTACTGATGGATGTTCTTCTGCAGGCTTTGTCTCTTTCTCATTTAGTCAGACTTTAAGTGACAACTTGCTATTTTTGTTTTGGTTTTAACTAACTGTTTGTTTTGTCTGCTTAATTACATGGGACAGGATGAAAGAGAAGTTTTGCCTCCAACTCCGGACGTTGCAAGTGCAGCAACTTCAACTACTACTGCTACTCATGGGATTGAGGTGGCAGTGGAATTTAAGCCAGTCGAACACCCTATCGAACCTATGGACAATGATCAACCCATTCAGTGTCCACTACCCGAACCCTCAATTCTCAATGTAAGCCTGAATATTGCTTTTCACTTTCAAAATGTGTGTTAGTACATAATTATGTGCTAATTTGTTAGTGATTGGAAAAGAAAGGTTTGGTGTTTTATTTAGGATCATATTGCATGGTCTTTACCAAAATTCTAGGCCAACATGATTAAGTGGTGGTATTCTCTTGTGGACACTAAAATGGCATACAAATGATTGGAATATAATTATAAAAGTGAAGATATTTAGTAATTACCATGTAGTTTGTATACTAGATTCAATTGAAACTGTCATTTTGCTTAGTATTCAAAGTTGTGTTTTAGCATGGTTTTGTTCGAAGACTAAAGCCTTTAAATTACTGTTTTTTTGTTTATTGCATTCATTTTCCCTTGCAACTGAATCATTGTTAAAAGATGCTTAAATGCTGCTGATGAAGAATGATCTTTAGTTTCTGTTTAGTTTTGAAATCCGAGTAGTGATATTTGTTCTTCAATTGGTTTAATGCTGTACATGAGTCCAATTCTTTATCACTTGTAGTGCCGTTCTTTTTCTTTATGTGAAGAGAATTTAAAGTTATTACTTTCTTTGGTTTCTATGTTTGAAGTTTATAGAATTATGATAATTTATGAATTTATTGCACATTGATTTTAGTTGCCAAAGCCAAGTTAACACCAACAAAAGACTAATACTTCTGCTAGATTGATAATGTTTCATTTCTACTATTGTCAACATTGTAATTGGTTACCAATGGTAGGCTTCCAAGTGTAATTTAAACTGGACTCAATATGATTTTGGGTGTGAATCATAAGAGGTGGAGTAGTTGTATCTGGCAAATAAATCAATCTGGTTTTTTCCAGAGAAAGAAATTTTAATTTATTTCATGGCACTCATGGCATGACTTGTTCACTTATCTGGTCAGTTGCTAGATTATAGAGATTTAGGCCGAATAATTGTTCACGTAGGATTAGAAAAACATTTAAAAAAGAAAGAGTGAAGCTGTATTAATAAGAGAGTAGTGTACAAAGAAGTTAATTGAAATGTGCTTAAAAGCTCGCAACAAGCTAACAACATGAAGGCTACAACAATTATCTTTGCAACTTTGTGGCAAATCGCTTTCCAGACTAGCCTTTAAAAAATAATCTCAGTTCAAAATCTATGGCCATTCCCCCAAGATGAAAAATTTACCAAAATCCCTCCAATTGAAATGAATAAAGAACAATGAAGTGTCCTTGAGATTTGTGTAGACCATCCAAGTTCCTCATGTAGTTGAAATTGATTCTTACCTAGACAAGGGGAATTACAACTAGAAAACAATGCACCAGGTAAGATGTTTGAATTAAAAAGCTTGCATGTCATAACAGATTGGAGTGACTGACTTTCTCGTCCCTGCTTTAGTTAAAAATTCATAGTCACGGTTGCTGTGGAAGTGCTTTTTCTTGGTAAATGTCACCTGTTTTGATGCTGAAAATAATCTTCTTATGGCATCTCATTGATGTTGTAAGTTTGATGATAGGGAAATGTGAGTATTTGTTTAATCTACATGAGTTTTTAATAACCTTGAGAGGATTTTGCTGGTGAAAATTGGAAGGGCCGGAGCTTGGTTTAAAGAGTGATATACCAACCCTCAGCACCTAGGAGGTTTACTAATCTTCACAACTATTCTCATCTTTGCAACAACCACAGCCATAAAATTGCCACTATTAGGTCACCTTTGCTACCGAGAAGACACCAATTTCCCCTGCATCACTAACTGCTGCTGGCGCCGTCATTATCACTCTACTGCTGTTAACATCATCGTTGCTGCATGATTAACATCGTCATTATTGCTGCACGATCTCCTGTCCGCTTCTGCTGCCATTACTACCAAAACACGAGCTTCTATTAGTCTGTTCACGTTACCACCATGACGATAACAGCCACCTTTTCCACCTTTTTTTGTCATGGACAGTACACTTCCACTCTTAAGGATGCAACCATTGTTTTGCCTCAAGCCAAAACAGATCTAGATTGAGAACCTGACCTTCTTAAAACTTTTTTGGGTTCTCTGAGTTGTATGGAACTTGTACATGTCTCAAATTTAGATTCATATATTGCTTGTTGGGAGGTGGTATGAGCTTTGCTTGCACAATCTTGTCAAGTGAAGAACAGACAGACTTTGAAGCCGAGATAGCTTTTTCAGAATATAAAAAGACCAAATCATCTGTGAGGTTCTCCTTTGGCTAAACAGGGAACACAGGCTTAGGTTTTAGAACTGTGTTGAGCCCGATTATCACTAGATATGAGCAGTTGTAAAAAGCTATGTAATTCATCTCCTATATGAATTCTTGAAATGGCCATTCTTCAAAATACCTAGTATTGGGATGGATTATTGCATTTTTTTTTGTTGGTAGGTCTATGATAATACAGGACTTGTTTTCTTTTATTCTTGTGTCCATAATTCTTTTAAGCAAGAACTGTTAGATTTCAGATTCTGATTATGAGTTTATACTTTAATAGGACGGAAGAATATGGAAGGAACGAGTCTCAGCAGGCATGAGAAGGAGATCTGACTTGCCAGTTATGAAGGAAGGAGGGGTCCTTGAATCTGAAGATGTTGAGACGAAGCCTCGTCCAATGCAATCAAACCGCTTGATTCTACCATCTCTGAGTGCTCCTGAACATAATTTACTACATCTACTCGAAGAGTCTGGGATCTAAAGCCTGGTATTGATCCCTGGTGGAATACATCTTTGCATAATTTCCATATATATTTCAATTGTTTTTCTTTTTTTTCATATTATAAATTCACCCTTTGCATATACTCAGTTGGATTTATATATACATCTAAATCAGTCATAGTAAAAGTATGTATATTTATAAATTTAGTATGAAAATTTCAGTTCGTACTCGGTTTTTCAACTTTCCCAATAATTTTGCAATGTACCTCTGTAACCCTGCTGTTAATATTCTGAGAAAAAAAATAATCTGAGTTATTGTAGATCTGGGCTGAGCCATTGGTGTTGTCATTATATAAATCTTCGGTCTCATGATCATTATTTTTGTTTATGTATGTTGACCCTTAATTTTAGGGAAATTATGTTTCATAATTATGTAGTAGTTGACCCTTAACTACCAACTAATTTATCTGTGATTGCAGCGGGCCATTGATTATAGGCCAATTTTGTGCAATCATAGATTCCAGTTGTTTCTCCCTTTCTTCCTGTTTGATTTGATCAAATTATCAGTTGCCTCACTAACCATTTATTATCTTGTCATCATTTATTATTTGTATTATTTCAGATTTCATAATGGCAATGAGTTAAATAATTGGCAATTACTTTGGATAATAATAATATTGTCTCAATAGACTGCATTTGCTTTTAGATAGAATTACGCATATAAATTATTTCATATAAACTGATTTGACATAGAATGAATAAAACCCAGCTTATGGATAGCTCAACAGTCAGGGCGAACCAAGACAATTGTGCATGAATTCAACCCCCTTTAGGTTCAATTCCCCACTAGATGCAAAAATAGTAATGACGGTAGGTTATCGTGGAATAGCTTCTTTTAAGGATTAGTCATAGATAGTTTTCTTTAAATATTAGTTAAGGTATACGTGTCACAGTAAAACATTGTAATAATATGTCAAACATAAAGTTTATAAACCCATAATGTAAAACTTATAATAATACTTCAACATAAAGTTTATAAACCCATAATGCAAAACTTATAGAAGCTTGTAAAATGCACTCGTACAATATGAATATTGTGTAATAGGTACGATTAACGACCTATTAACTAGGCCATAGCTCTGATCTTTGTTTTTTTTTTTTTTTTTTTTTAATTTGAAATATTGAAGTTTATATGCTGTAATAAGGAAGAAGAAAATCAATCTAGTTATATAAATCTGAGGTTTGATTGTTAAAGAGAGATTAAATAAGGTTTATAATACCATCAAGAATGCAGCAAATGACAAAGGCTGGTTTGATTCCAGATCTTTGGCCGTAGACAGTCGTCAACGACGGCCAAGATATGGATGTCGTTGATGACCAAATACGGCCAGATCTGGTCGTCAACCAGCAAGATTGAGTCGGTCATACGCCGATAAGGTAACTCTGGCCACCCTCCGATGGTAGTGGTCGACTGTTCGTATTTTTGAGTGGATTAAAGGTGTTTTTGTTAACTTTGAATATTTTATTATAGAGGTGTTGAGTAAATAAATAAATATAGGGGTATTTATGTTAATTTTCAAAATTTTACATCGTAATATCCACCCAATTTAATTTTTTTCAAAATATTATTCTAAAAACTATCCAATAATAAAAGCCAAAGTGTATATGGACAATTGGACATTGCTATTGGCACCACTTTCTGATTTAATTTTTGTGCTTAAAAAAAGAAACAAAATACATTCATATTCTTAGTGGGAAATACAAAGGAGCAAGAGCTCATTATTCCAGCAAATATTATAAGCAAAAACTACAACACAAATTCTTTTAAACAACATTAGAAAAATACATGACAAGCGGCAACTATACAGGCAACTTGGGAAGTTGAAGAGGGTGCTCCGCCGTGGGATTAACAAGGTGTTTTCGAGGTCCTCGAAAGCTTCCATGATTAATCCTGACACGATTAGCGACAGAATGCGAACCGTCGACCTGAGAATGGAGTGTAATGGCAACGGAGAAGGAGGAGGAGGAGGAGGTGATGAACAGAAAAATGAAGAGGAATGTGTAGTGGTGAAAGGGCTTCATGATTATTGTGCTTTGCTTTCAAGTGTGGAGAAACACTGAAATGATTGATAATTATATATATATATATATATAAAGATGTGTAAAGTTTTTAACTTTGCTTAGTTTGGAAGTCACAGGGGAATGGATTTTTACTACTCTTGTTTCATCTTTCATGGGCTCAATAGGATGATCCACTTTATTATTTTATTTTGTTTTGTTTTGTTAGTGGGTTTGGTTGCTTTTCGTTATGATTCTAATTTATGAAAAAGGTTTACAGTATGTTATCAATTATTATAAAAAAATATTACTAGATATACACATACATACGTTAATATCATTATTTTTTTTTAAATTAACTTAAAAAAAAAAACTCTTTTAAAGATATTAAACACCCATTTACAAAATTATATAAAAAATAATCTCTTAAAAATATAAAAAACCCTATTAAAAATATCAAACACCACTTTACAAAATTATCAAAAAAACCTCTTATAAAAGATATTTAATACTTTCTGGATTAAACAAACAAATATAATGCTACGCAAGGAAAAAATAAAATGCAACCACCACTGGATGACCTATCGGTCAACTAGAAATCTTGGGTGTATTAGTCAAGAGGTCATAAGTTCGATCTATCTGTGCTGTTAATAGGAGTAGCCATTAAAGAGGATTTATTCGGTTGTTAATTTTAGGAGCCTCGGATGATTATTTGAAGTGCACGTAAGCTGATTCGGACACCCCTAATCACCAAAAAAATATATATATATATATTAATAATAAAAAATGAACTCTTTTTATGTCACTTATCTTAAACTAGGGAAGCTGCTAAGAAAAATTTTGGGATTTCTTTAATAAAAAAGGCTCTAAGGTAGGCTCAAATAACCCACTGAATTTCAATAAGGCCCGGCCCGTCTAGCAAGCCCATCTAAATATCATATTGGGCTCGGTTTCCGACGTTCAGTTGATAGAAAAAACCACTTGATATTCTTTTCTTTGGGTTCAAGAAAAGACACATAAAAAGCGCAGAGAAATCGAAATCGAAAGAGAAAGAAAAAGATATTGAAACACCACTGTTTTGTTCGGCGCTCGGGCTGTGAAATCTTTGAACCATGGCTGCTCTACAGTACCTAGAATCCTTGCGCGACGCCCACCCAGAGCTCAGCGAGTGGTACAATGCTTTGGCAGATCTGTACCAGAAGAAGCTCTGGCATCAGCTCACCCTCAAGCTCGAACAGTTCGTCGCTCTCGCCGTCTTTCAGGTTTACTTCTTCTTCTCTTCCTGTTCTCCTTCTTGCTTTCTAGATCTCCACGGTGTCGTTTCGTTTAATGTTATGTCGAAATTCAACTAGGGTTTTGCTTTGATTTTAAATTTGGGGAAAATTCGGACCAGTGATGTTTGATTTTTATTCTTGGTTATATATTAGGCTTTGTGGCATCCGTTTCTCTTTACCTGCAGAATCTTGTTATGGTTGACTTCGGCTAGAATTATTAGGTGGAATAGAAAATTCGGGAAAATTAGTTGTCTTGTAATCTTGTTTTCGTTTGTTACTATTGTTTTGATGAGTGGGCTTTGTGTTCTATGAAGAGGAACTCAATGTACACCCATTTCATGTATGACAGCTTTGGTAGTTAAGTAGTACTGTCAGCCAAGTTTTGAGACTTTAAGTTGCATGTAGACAGACCATTTCGGTTTTTCTTAGTCAGGCTATTTTATTTAAATGCCTTGGTATATATAGATATGATGCAGATTTTATAATATATTTTTTTAATGCCTTTATCATATGCTTTGTAATGGAACTTTTGATTTCTCAAATAACAATGTATTAATTTAGGGAGCTTTGTGTGCTTGTCGAATTCTTGCAATTATGGGATGATAAATTTATTTCTAGTTTCAAGAAAGGAAACTAATAATATACTAGGAGATCTATTTCATGAATATCATCCAAGTGATATCTAGTATTGAACTTTGGGAAAGTATCTCTTGTAGAAACAAGAACGACATGAGACAGCCTTCAATCTCAATTGTGTGGGCTTTCAACAGTTTTGAGACTCATATCCTTAATTTATATCCTAGGACTTGTGGATGGGAATTATAACTGTTTTATTGGTCTATGTATATTTATTTATTTTTTGATGCTTAGAAATTCATCAACCTTTCTATTTGTTCATTGAGTTCTAAATCAATGGCTACTTCCACATCCTAAAACCCAGGTTGACAGGAAAGTAGGATACAACATCTCATGTTGGTGGCCCCAAGTGGATTTGAACCCTTGACCTCTTAGTTGAAACCAAGGGAATTTATCTCTTAGTCCATATGCAGTGACTAAAGTGGTAAAATATTAATATGATGTACAAGTGCTGTATTACATAGTTCCGAGGTTTTGAGTAAAAACTTTTAGATTTATGAAATTCGCTTTGGTATCTTATCTTTCTACATTGTGAACCAATTCTTTTCTGGTTGTTGTCAAATCTGATCTAATATCGGTTTCCTAGTTTATGTACTGCGTGAATTCTTGGGCCATGAGATTTATGTTCCCGGTCCACATCACCCGAGTATGAAGGATAGTTAAATTTGGTGCCTACTCTCTACTAAAATTAATATATATGTGGTTCAATTATCAATTATGTGCTTTCATATCGTCTATGTGCCGTGATTTGTTGCAGCACATTGTTATCTTCATTGGCATGTCCGTCTGGTATTCTGGGTGTATGGTATGATATTTTTGTTATCCATTATCTTGGCATTTTGTCATCTCTCTTTTTTGTATTGTTGATCTTTTTTGCTTACAACCACAAATGTATCTGGTTGCTAGACTGAGAAGAGATTAGATCGATGCATTGTTGCATTTCTTTTATCCTTTATTGGTAACTGACTGCTACTGTGATCTATTTTGATATTTAATTTTAGGCTGGTGATGCTCTGATACAGTTGTATCATAACTTCATCACCGATTTTGAGACGAAGATCAATCTCCTCAAGCTTGCACATTTTGCTGTTATAGTTTCTCGGCAGTATTCTGAAAAAGAAGCCGCCATTAATTATCTTGAGGGTGTGATTGAAAAACTTCGGGCAACTGGTGAGCCGCGTATAGAGGAGCCAATCCTTTACATTAAAATGCAAATAGCCATGTGCAAACTTGAGCAAGGAGATCAAAAGGAATGCAAGAAAATTCTAGAAGATGGAAAGAGTACACTTGACAGCATGACTGACATTGATCCATCTGTATATGCTAGCTATTATTGGCTTTCATCACAATACCACAAAGTTCTTCAGGAATTTGCTGAATTTTACAAGTGTGCTCTGCTTTATCTGGCATACACTTCAGTGGAATCTCTCTCAGAATCATTCAAGCTGGTATTGTTTGTTCTGATATGAACGTTAATCTTTTATATCTTGATTATTATATTTTGAATGATCACAATGCTACAAAAACCTTGCATATTCCTGAACTTAAGCTCAGAAATAAAGATAAAAAGGAAAGTTGCTTTTTGCTTCTTGTTGCACTTTTCATTTTTCTCCATCGTTGATGTTTACATTTTATGGTTTTTTTAATGTATTTTAGGATTTGGCGTTTGATCTCTCCCTTGCTGCACTGCTTGGAGATAACATTTACAATTTTGGGGAACTGCTCGCTCATCCTATTGTAAGTATATTTTCTTGAGGATTTTGTTTTCCTGCAATTCTTATCTTCAGTTGTATGTGCTTTATCGGAAGAGTCATTCTTGGCTGCATCCTTTTCATCAAAGTGAATACGTATGATATAAATTATTTCATTGCTTGTTATTTGTGCAATTTCATGTAGGCATTTTTTTTTTTAATTATTAACATTTTATGATGTAATTTTTGTTGGCAAAGTGAAGAGCAACTTAAGCTCAATTTTAGGTTTTGGTCACATTGTCATAAACCCTGCTTCCCTTTGGGCTGGGTTTCTTTATACTTGATTTCATTAGATTAAGGTGGATGAGGAATTGGTTTGTTCTTGATTGTTTACCCTTCATCTCTGGTCAACTTTAGAATATCTTTTCAAGAACAAGATGTGTAAGGTGCTGTTTTTAGCCCATGGATGAAATTTTAGAAAGAGAATGCAGATGGAAGTAGCAAGAAGATAAACTGGGTATTGGTTAATCTCATCTTTTTAAGAACCTGCATGTTGACTCAATTTATAAGACATAATTAGTTTTAGTGTTGGTCCTGTTGGATGCTTCTTGTTAGTGAAAGCTTTTAGACTAAAATTGGAAAACCTAATTCACTTCAATTTATGAGATAATAGGTTAGAACTTTTGTAAATCAGCACAGTACTAACTCTTTGTGAATTCTCTGTGGTTTTGCTACCTCTTGCTTAGCCTACTCTGTTTTTAGTCACGGTCATAAGCTTAACTGATCATTCAAGTCTATATTATGTGAAAATGAAACTAACATCTTGTTGTACTATTCTGGAACAGCTTAACCCTTTACTCAATTGGTTGATTTCTTAGTCTGGATTGTGTCATTATGCTTAAATGTCCCTTGTGTTCTTGAGCATTCTATTATTTTGCTTGAGATTTCACAGTGACTATTCTTTGTTAGGAGTGGCAAGAAGTCATGCACTAGAAGTGTAGAATTTCTTATCACAGAAATCCTTTGCATTTCTGATTATGTGGTGGTATTTGAGTTGCTTTGTGCCCTACAATTTTATATTTTCATTGTCCTTGTGATGATTCCATCTTGTAATCTTTTTTACAGATAAATAGTCTTATAGGAACAAAGGTCGAGTGGCTGTATTATATTCTCCAGGCATTTAACTCCGGTGACCTAGTTCGATATCAGGAATTATGCCGTGTACACAATGCTGCCCTCAGGTCTCAACCTGCACTAGTTGAGAATGAGAAGAAGTTAGTGGAAAAGATTAACATTCTCTGCCTGATGGAAATTATCTTTAGGTATTATAATTTTAGTGGTAGTCTTCTTATTATTTTTACATATTTGTATAATTTTTTGCCAATTGATGCGAGATGTGCATCCTTGTAGCCGGCCTTCTGAGGACCGAACTATTCCATTAAGCATCATTGCAGAGCGCACAAAACTTTCAATTGAGGATGTTGAGCATCTTCTGATGAAGTCTCTCTCGGTAAGTCACTTTTATATTTTAAGTTCATATTTACATATTTATTCCTTCACGCGGTATCTGCACAAACTTTGCTTGGACACCTACTTTGGCATAACGTTGTGATGTTTGATGTTTTAATTCAGGTTCATCTCATCGAGGGTATAATCGATCAAGTTGAGGGAACAGTTCATGTATCCTGGGTACAGCCAAGAGTTTTGGGTATTCCGCAGATCAAATCCTTACGTGATCGGCTGGACAATTGGTTGGAGAAAGTACATACCGCTTTGTTGTCCATCGAAGCGGAAACACCCGATCTTGTGGCATCATAAATTTTGTTCTTTTTGTTTTCCCTCATTATCTTTCTGCTCATTGTGTAACAATGTCTTCGAGAAAACAAAAGGAAACAAAATGAAAAATGGCAATGGAGGCAAAGAGGAGAAAGAGACGAGTTTTAGTGACCGAGGCAGTTGGAACAAACTAGAACTGTATGCATGGTTTAAATGTTGGCTGAGCATTTTTCTGAAAAGTGCAGTTGTCATTTGCTATATGGTTAGCAGCAGCAGTATCTCTTGAGACATTGAAAATTGAGAATGGCCTTCTAGTCTACTCTTTTGAAATGGGATATTAAATTTATGTATTGAGAATTTCCTTAGATACCATCATTAATGTTATTAGTTTCATCTTTGCTTTGATATTATTTCATTGTTCAATCAATTTGGTAACTTCTTCTTTGAATTTATGGCGCATAAATCATATTGTTTGAAACTTAAATATCAACCGGAATTTTATCAACAGCTTAGGCATCTAAATTCTAAAGCACAAAGTGGCAATGGAAATTGGTATAAACAAACGGCTGTATTTTGATATCTCCCAATCAAAACATGAGAAATTTTATTTCTGTTACAACACAAAAATTAATTTAAATACAATGAAATCAACCTTATATTAAGGTGTCTAGATGAGAGCATATATATATATAAAAGAAATATTTCAAATTAATTTAAACATAATTAATTAATTATATTATTAGATACTATAAAAAAAATTACAAGACATTTAACCATACGAGATTGGCGGGAAATTGTGGTTCATCAAAAACTCTTACATCGACATGAAAAACAAAAACAACAAATTAAGCTTATATATATAAACTACAATTTGGTTCGACCGTTCAGTAAGCAGGTAGACATTGAAGTTGTCATTGCCACTTCTTCAGCTTGAGTGATATTTGTCTGAGGGTTGTTGTTTATCAGGAATCCACCATGAGCGATTGACTGAATCCACTGTTATATTGCACTGCATCTGCATTGTTATCGCTTGCTTTGTCAACACCATCGTTCGTCCTGATTCCACCATCAGTTATTAGCTGGAGATACTCATTCATCAAGAGTCTAGCATCACGTTGCATTGCCTCTTCAGTGCCGTTCATCAAGAGTCTACCATCACGTTGCATTGCCTTTTCATTGTCGTTCATCAAGAATGCTTCCATATTTTGCAAGGCCTCTTCAACTTGATTGTTATTATTAGTGTTTGCTATCTTTCATTGCTTGTTATTTGTGCAATTTCATGTAGGCATTTTTTGTTTAATTATTAACATTTTATGATGTAATTTTTATTGGCAAAGTGAAGAGCAACTTAAGCTCAATTTTAGGTTTTGGTCACATTGTCATAAACCCTGCTTCCCTTTGGGCTGGGTTTCTTTATACTTGATTTCGTTAGATTAAGGTGGATGAGGAATTTGTTTGTTCTTGATTGCTTACCCTTCATCTCTGGTCAACTTTAGAGTATCTTTTCAAGAACAAGATGTGTAAGGAGCTGTTTTTAGCCCATGGATGAAATTTTAGAAAGAGAACGCAGATGGAAGTAGCAAGAAGATAAACTGGGTATTGGTTAATCTCATCTTTTTAAGAACCTGCATGTTGACTCAATTTATAAGACATGATTAGTTTTAGTGTTGGTCCTGTTGGAAGCTTCTTGTTAGTGAAAGCTTTTAGACTAAAATTGGAAAACCTAATTCAATTCAATTTATGAGATAACAGGTTAGAACTTTTGTAAATCAGCACAGTACTAACTCTTTGTGAATTCTCTGTGGTTTTGCTACCTCTTGCTTAGCCTACTCTGTTGTTAGTCACGGTCATAAGCTTAACTGATTATTCAAGTCTATATTATGTGAAAATGAAACTAACATCTTGTTGTACTATTCTGGAATAGCTTAACTCTTTAATCAATTGGTTGATTTCTTAGTCCGGATTGTGTCATTATGCTTAAATGTCCTTTGTGTTCTTGAGCATTCTATTATTTTGCTTGAGATATTTCACAGTGACTATTCTTTGTTAGGAGTGGCAAGAAGTCATGCACTAAAAGTTTAGGATTTCTTATCGCAGAAATCCTTTGCATTTCGGATTATGTGGTGGTATTTGAGTTGGTTTGTGCCCTGCAATTTTATATTTTCATTGTGCTTGTGATGATTCCATCTTGTAATCTTTTTTACAGATAAATAGTCTTATAGGAACAAAGGTCGAGTGGCTGTATTATATTCTCCAGGCATTTAACTCCGGTGACCTAGTTCGATATCAGGAATTATGTCGTGTACACAATGCTGCCCTCAGGTCTCAACCTGCACTAGTTGAGAATGAGAAGAAGTTAGTGGAAAAGATTAACATTCTCTGCCTGATGGAAATTATCTTTAGGTATTATAATTTTAGTGGTAGTCTTCTTATTATTTTTACATATTTGTATAATTTTTTGCCAATTGATGCGAGATGTGCATCCTTGTAGCCGGCCTTCTGAGGACCGAACTATTCCATTAAGCATCATTGCAGAGCGCACAAAACTTTCAATTGAGGATGTTGAGCATCTTCTGATGAAGTCTCTCTCGGTAAGTCACTTTTTTTTTTTTTTAAAGTTCATACTTACATATTTATTCCTTCACGGGGTATCTGCACAAACTTTGCTTGGACACCTACTTTGGCATAACGTTGTGATGTTTGATGTTTTAATTCAGGTTCATCTCATCGAGGGTATAATCGATCAAGTTGAGGGAACAGTTCATGTATCCTGGGTACAGCCAAGAGTTTTGGGTATTCCGCAGATCAAATCCTTACGTGATCGGCTGGACAATTGGTTGGAGAAAGTACATACCGCTTTGTTGTCCATCGAAGCGGAAACACCCGATCTTGTGGCATCATAAATTTTGTTCTTTTTGTTTTCCCTCATTATCTTTCTGCTCATTGTGTAACAATGTCTTCGAGAAAACAAAAGGAAACAAAATGAAAAATGGCAATGGAGGCAAAGAGGAGAAAGAGACAAGTTTTAGTGACCGAGGCAGTTGGGACAAACTAGAACTGTATGCATGGTTTAAATATTGGCTGAGCATTTTTCTGAAAAGTGCAGTTGTCATTTGCTATATGGTTAGCAGCAGCAGTATCTCTTGAGACATTGAAAATTGAGAATGGCCTTCTAGTCTACTCTTTTGAAATGGGATATTAAATTTATGTATTGAGAATTTCCTTAGATACCATCATTAATGTTATTAGTTTCATCTTTGCTTTGATATTATTTCATTGTTCAATCAATTTGGTAACTTCTTCTTTGAATTTATGGCGCATAAATCATATTGTTTGAAACTTAAATATCAACCGGAATTTTATCAACAGCTTAGGCATCTAAATTCTAAAGCACAAAGTGGCAATGGAAATTGGTATAAACAAACGGCTGTATTTTGATATCTCCCAATCAAAACATGAGAAATTTTATTTCTGTTACAACACAAAAATTAATTTAAATACAATGAAATCAACCTTATATTAAGGTGTCTAGATGAGAGCATATATATATATAAAAGAAATATTTCAAATTAATTTAAACATAATTAATTAATTATATTATTAGATACTATAAAAAAAATTACAAGACATTTAACCATACGAGATTGGCGGGAAATTGTGGTTCATCAAAAACTCTTACATCGACATGAAAAACAAAAACAACAAATTAAGCTTATATATATAAACTACAATTTGGTTCGACCGTTCAGTAAGCAGGTAGACATTGAAGTTGTCATTGCCACTTCTTCAGCTTGAGTGATATTTGTCTGAGGGTTGTTGTTTATCAGGAATCCACCATGAGCGATTGACTGAATCCACTGTTATATTGCACTGCATCTGCATTGTTATCGCTTGCTTTGTCAACACCATCGTTCGTCCTGATTCCACCATCAGTTATTAGCTGGAGATACTCATTCATCAAGAGTCTAGCATCACGTTGCATTGCCTCTTCAGTGCCGTTCATCAAGAGTCTACCATCACGTTGCATTGCCTTTTCATTGTCGTTCATCAAGAATGCTTCCATATTTTGCAAGGCCTCTTCAACTTGATTGTTATTATTAGTGTTTGCTATCAGAACACCATCTTCTTGTTCTTGCCAACAAGTTTGTGAAACTGATCCATCATCTTTTAGTGCCTCCTTTTTAATCTTACAAAGTACAACATCGCAACCCCCGTATTCACCCACTAGAGAAAACTCATGCATGATCCACTTATTGCATTTCTTAACCTCGTTTTTCATATCGAAAGTAAAAGTTTTCTTTTCACCGATAACTTGAAAGTTGTTATCTCTATCCAGGATTTTAAACGCTGAACTTTGACCATGCCAAGTCCCTCCACCCGCTCTTCTAAAAACCCTTTTCCCTCTCTTCTTCAACCTAGTAAAACAATACCATACCTTTTGATTTGAAGGTTCGTCAAAAATCTCCCCAGGTGTTTTTACATCGTAGAGATCACACTCTATAATGGGATTCCATGGCATGGGGTTTCCTGTAACTCTTGCAAGTAGATAGTATTTTACCAGTTCATCTTCAAAAGGCTTGAAACGATACCCCACTGGCAGCTCCATTCTAGCTATTTCGTTTCTTTCAAGAAAAAAGATTTTTATTTCTAAACTGATGCGCCCAAGATTAAAACCCTAACTTAGGAGAAAGATTAAGAGTTTTCAATTTGGTTGTAGGAGTGTTAGGTATTCTCTATTTATAATTAAGGAATGATCAACTGTCATGGCTTAACGAAATTACCTAGATTACTTAATTAGGTTTAGAGAGTTTTGTTAGAATTCAAAATCCTACGTGCATGAAATTATCGGTTGCATGGTTGAAGTAAAAGATTCCTTTATCCTTTGGAGAGTCCTTCCATCGTTGAAAGACATTACTAAAGCTTCATAATTAAGTCTATAATTTTTTTAATCTCAAATTTGGAAAGCGATTATCGTGGCTTGAGCACCGTTAATTTTTCTTGTGGAATGTGACAATCGCAATAGATTAACTATTCAATCACTTAATCCTAAAGTAGGATAAATTTAATGTGCAATGCCCCAAGGCTATCCCGTATAATATCTAATGAGAATAGTAGGATAATTTTTTGATACATTATAACATAATCTGATAATTATGCAGCCGAAGTTTAATAGATTTACATAATCCTAAAGTAGACCCTGATCCAAGATTAAGGACTGGATTATAGACTAATTAAAACTCATATTTCAATTGTAAAAGATCATAATAATTAGTCAATATTTCGAGCTCAACTCTTGAAGGTTGAAATGAAAGCCAACTCTGTTGGAGGGATATATAATCACAGTCATACAGAGGTTTTTAATTAAAGAAACTTAAAAGTTTTTCTATATTATTTTGACATCTAGAAGCTGTTGTTTAGTTGTATAGGACTAATAAAAGATTATAATTAGAAAAAACCTTCCAGTAATTCCTATAACAATATTAACACAAGCTAATAACAATAGTAGAATAAATTTATGAAACATTATTAAATAATCTGATTTAACATAAATATATTTTAGATGACACATGCAGCCAATCGAAGCCGACAATAGGTAGATTTACATAATGATCTGTGTTCAAATCCTAAAGCAGATCACCCTTATCCAAGATTAAGGTGGGATTAATAGACTAGTTAAAACTAATTATAAATTTCGGAAACTTAATTATGAAGCTTTAGTAATGTCTTTCAACGATGGAAGGACTCTCCAAAGGATAAAGGAATCTTTTACTTCAACCATGCAACCGATAATTTCATGCACGTAGGATTTTGAATTCTAACAAAACTCTCTAAACCTAATTAATTAATCTAGGTAATTTCGTTAAGCCATGACAGTTGATCATTCCTTAATTATAAATAGAGAATACCTAACACTCCTACAACCAAATTGAAAACTCTTAATCTTTCTACTAAGTTAGGGTTTTAATCTTGGGCGCATCAGTTTAGAAATAAAAATCTTTTTTCTTGAAAGAAACGAAATAGCTAGAATGGAGCTGCCAGTGGGGTATCGTTTCAAGCCTTTTGAAGATGAACTGGTAAAATACTATCTACTTGCAAGAGTTACAGGAAACCCCATGCCATGGAATCCCATTATAGAGTGTGATCTCTACGATGTAAAAACACCTGGGGAGATTTTTGACGAACCTTCAAATCAAAAGGTATGGTATTGTTTTACTAGGTTGAAGAAGAGAGGGAAAAGGGTTTTTAGAAGAGCGGGTGGAGGGACTTGGCATGGTCAAAGTTCAGCGTTTAAAATCCTGGATAGAGATAACAACTTTCAAGTTATCGGTGAAAAGAAAACTTTTACTTTCGATATGAAAAACGAGGTTAAGAAATGCAATAAGTGGATCATGCATGAGTTTTCTCTAGTGGGTGAATACGGGGGTTGCGATGTTGTACTTTGTAAGATTAAAAAGGAGGCACTAAAAGATGATGGATCAGTTTCACAAACTTGTTGGCAAGAACAAGAAGATGGTGGTCCGATAGCAAACACTAATAATAACAATCAAGTTGAAGAGGCCTTGCAAAATATGGAAGCATTCTTGATGAACGGCAATGAAGAGGCAATGCAACGTGATGGTAGACTCTTGATGAACGGCAATGAAGAGGCAATGCAACGTGATTGTAGACTCTTGATGAATGAGTATCTCCGGCTAATAACTGATGGTGGAATCAGGACGAACGATGGTGTTGACAACGCAATCGATAACAATGCAGATGCAGAGCAATATAACAGTGGATTCAGTCAATCGCTCATGATGGATTCCTGATGAACAACGACCCTCAGTCAAATATCACTCAAGCTGAAGAAGTGGCAATGAGAAATTCAATGTCTACCTGCTTACTGAACGATCGAACCAAATTGTAGTTTATATATATAAGCTTAGTTTGTTGTTTTTGTTTTTCATGTCGATGTAAGAGTTTTTGATGAACCACGTACAATTTTCCGCCATTCTCGTATGGTCAAATGTCTTGTAATTTTTTATAGTATCTAATAATATAATTAATTAATTATGTTTAAATTAATTTAGTTTTTCACTTTAATGAATGGTTAATTTGATATATTTCTTGTTTTAAGACTTGAGTCATAAAAATATCCCAAGTTGGAAGATAACATATATGTTTTTCTTCGATTTCAAGACGGCTGATGCCTGATGAAGAGTTTCCTTTGCCATTTTGTGCTTTTGATACCTAAGCTGTTCATAAAATTTCCATTTGAAATTTATGTTTTAAACTTTCAACAAATATTATTTATGAGCCATAAATTCGAAGAAAAATAAACCCCAAGGTGGCAGCAATGTATATATATTCAAACGAGGATTAACTTAATTATTGTACAGGTTTTAAGTTGTACATTAGAAAAGGACTTTATGAGTGTTTTCTTTTTTCTTTTTCAATTAAATTGTCTTAAATAATGTTCCTATTGGGATTGCCACATGCCACAAACAAAATCAATGGTGCTCAAGCCACTTTCCAAATTTGAGATCAATATGGTTCTTTAAAGACAATAATTCTGAATAAATATCAAAGGCTTTTACAATTCAAATCTGAAACAGAACTAAAGATAGTTTCAATTCATAGGATTCAACCATGCTGTGATCACTTCTTTCATCACAAAGGCGCCATTTGGCTGAAAAGGCTTTTATATAGATCAACCCCTACCAATCATGTCCTACAATTGCGCTTTCGAATGATCTTCTGTGAAAAGTTATTTCAAGTAGGCAATCTGCACAGCAGAATATCTTCCTTCTTGCGAGACGCTACTCAAGTAATTTCAGCCCAAAGGCTCATGTTACATGTTATTTGCTTATGATGGACACTATTTTTTCCCAGCCATTGAGTTCAGCAGCTCACAAGTATTTGAGCATGCCGCGACCCTCCACGCTAAGTTTGGTAGCTTGCATCTGCTTCTTTTTGGGTGCCTTCAACTGCTGCAACTTCTTATTCATCTGCCATTCCCAGTTGAAATTTGAAGTTAGAAACTATGCAGACAAGTGAATTTAAACAGAGATATAAAATTGATCCCATCTGATTAATTATACTAATGTCCAGTTCGATTATGTGCTCAGATGAGATCTATCTAGTAATTGCACTAACCAATGACATATCAACCCAAATCTCTAAACAATATCATTTTTTCAGAAGTCAGAAATTCGTTTTCTTAATGCCAATAAAAACTACGCTCAAAAAGAGCAAAGGTCAAACACAGAAAGAATAACAAAGACATCACAAATAAGGGCAGATATTTTATCCACGTTCATTAAATATAAGGGGAAAAATAAGGAGCTAGTAGCCTGTAAGAAAGTTTCTGCGAAATTTAGTGCATTTATTATACCAGACCAAAGTAGCAAAACTTGAATGAAAATTTAACAAATCTACTAACCTTCATTCGACGTTGATCTTGCATAACTTGTTTAGCACGGGCTCTAATTTCTTCTGGATCAATTTTAGATTGGGGACGCACCAAAAAATCCAATGGGGTTGCTTCTGGTCTCGACGCGTGTTGCCTCATGGCTGAGTCTTGCCTTGAAGCCTGTTGCCCAAAAGATGATTGACCAGACTTGCGGTCCCTGAATTGTTTACACAAAATATTAGCAGGTAAAAGCAATTTGGAGTTGGAAGTAATATTTCCCAGAAAATAAAAGGCCAGATGCAAACAGATGAAATCTCTCATCACATCTTACCTAGATATAACCAAATCATCAAAATCACCATCTCTAGATTCCATTGCTGCAGATTTATTTGTAGGCCTACAGAAAAAATTAAAAAAGAATAATAACATTAATAAATCAGAAATAAGGAAAACCTATGTAAGCACGTGATAGCAACCAGATGACAGTAACAAAGAGTACTTTTTAACAGATGGCCTTCGAAAGGGAACCCTGACATCATCGTTATTTTTCATGTCCTCAAATCTTGTGCTCTTATTAAATATGGGCCGACTCTGTATACATTTCAAACCATAAAAATGTCAATATCAATATACAAAAACGAAAAATCTTAAAGACATGGAAACCCACAAAGGAAAAGAAACTATTTTACCACCAAAATACAAGGGCATATAACAGAAAATTAAGACAATACACTCATTTTCTCATCATGCTCAGGAAAATTCGCTTCCAAGATTAAGAGAACCCGCACATAGATACACAAGAGAAGATTGTAAACTTTAGACAGACAATAAAGACCAAGAATGACATTACCCATTTGTCAACCAGATCCTTGGCCAGCTTTCTGTTTGATGTGGTTTCCTCATCAGATTTTGATAAAAACATAATAACCTGCCAAATAAAAGGATTAAATCACCCCAAATTGCCACTCCCAGTGCCAAAAATAAACAGCAAGGCAAGATAATTTGTTTAATGAAATAATCATTAACCTTTCCAAGACCACTTTTCTTCAATTGCTCCCTTCTATCATACTGCTCCAGATCAATTGGAAACTGCATGACAAAAGTGAAATTCAGGCTCTACATAAACATAAAATTTGTTTGGAAGCAATGACGATGAGTAAAGAGACTTAATGAGGATAAACAAGTTTATACATCAGTCAAAATCTTCAGAATAGCTTCACGGATGTTTGTATTTGGTAAACTCCCATCTGGAAGGGGTTCAAGCCAATTCTTTAACAGAGTCAGCACTCCATGGTCTAAAAATTCTTGTTGAAGCTGCTTCCTGCATCAAGAGCAAACACAAGAAAAATATAAGAATTAATTGCTAGTGAAATAAAAGCACACTGAAATTGGAATGCAGGCACGCAGCTTACTTTGAGAGAACCTCAATGAGAAGAGACAACTTCTTGAGTTTATTAATAGCAGGTTTATTCTGTCTATTAAGTTCAGCATCTTCTTCGGCAGTGACCTCAAGCTCGGCCATGACATTCTCAACTAGCAATGCAATTTCTGCAGGACTTTTCTCACTCTTTTTCTTCTTTTTGCCCATCTTGAAGAGTTCATTGATTTCCTCATCCTCATCACCCTCCTCTGCCTGACAAAGTCAGATCATTGTACATAAAACTTAGATATGAACTGTCCAAAGCATTACTAATTAAACAATACATAATCTCATGACATAAACCTCAAGCATTTCAATTAGAGAATAATAAATCTTTCTAGATAGTAGATGAGGCATTTACCTGAGGAGCATCGTGAGCAAACCGCAGTTCATTGTCACTTCCATACCTGTCATTAGGGTCAACACCAGTGTCATCTATGAAGTTATCATCATCCACTGTCCTAACACCCTCCTGATCATCCTATAACATTTAGAGGTAGATACCATTAGAAACTTTATCAGCATATCAAAACCTCTAACTACTAGCAAAAGATACTAATCCATGACTAACATGAGATAAGGAGAAGAAAAAAAGTTGAAACACCAAAAAAAAACTCAAGATATAATTAAAATGAAATTTCACCTACACAAGTTAAACCACAATCAACTAGGCAAATAAAAATCCCAACATGACACAACATCAGAGAATTCATAAAGTTAAAGTAGACCCTAAAAATCAACACTAACTAATCAACATACATAAATTTTGGAGCAACAAAGAGAAAGTCAATTCACTAAATCACTAACACCTTATCAAATAACTAAAGCATAATCAAATCAAACAACACAAAATTAAAAACCCACATTCATTCACATTCACAATTGAAACTCAATGACTCCACTATCAAACCCGATCAGTTTAAGTTGCAAAATTTTGAACTCTACAATCTTTCATACATCACCAACAACAAAGAGAATCCAAAAGCCAAACACTCAAACAACAATCTGAAAAAGAACCAACAACCCAACGAACCATCAAAATATGAACCAAAATCATCATAAAGAAAAAAAAAAAAGTAAACCTCAGAATCGCCCGGCGGTGCGACCGCGTTCCACATCTCATTGAGCATTTTATCACTATCTTTGATATTCCCCTTCTTCCCAGATTTGGACCCACTTGCCTTCCCCAACCTCCTATCCTTCTCCACCTTAACTCTCTTATTACTCTCCTTCCCTTCCTTCCCCCACTTCTTCCTCTTCCTCTCCTCCATCTCCCTTCCAAAATCATCCACAATAAAATTATCCTCATCATCGTCATTCTCATCAACCAAATTAGGCGTACCACTCCGCCCAATTGATCCACCCTTCTTCACCAACCTCTTCCTAGGTTTCGATTTCTCGTTACTGTAAACCGGAGTCTGCGACCGGTCCCTCTTGGGAAAGTCCCCGATGTCATCTTCCAAATCATCAAGGATGTCGTTTTGATGAGGCTCGGGAGATGGCTCCCGGTCTGATTGCATGTCGTCGTAGTCCATCAACGGCTCTCCATCCTCGTCGCGATAACTACGCGTCCAATTCAATTCGATCAATTCATATATCAAGGAAACCCTAGCTCTCAATACGAACAAAAAGCAAGAAAAATAAGAAGAAACAAAAAAAAGCGAAGAGAAATTGAGAAAACTTACGGATCGTCGTCGTAACCCATTGCGGTGATGAATTGCGAGAGAAGATGGTAGTATCAATCAATCGATATTTGTAGATTTAAGAGAGCGGTAAGCTTTGGCGGTCTTGAATTGCGTTTGTTTGTTTGTGTAATGGGAATCGGGGAGACGAAGGGGATTGAGCCTGGATCCTGGACGGGAAGGACCACCCTATCTTCCTGCTATTTCACATATTTATTTAAAGAAGTTGATAATGTTGAATATTATTTGTATTTATCTTATCCTTTAAACTTAGGCGAACGATTGCCCATACCCAAGGTTTGTCATAACGACATTAGTACCTAAAAAGTTTAAAAATAATAAACAGATACCTTTCATCATGTATTATTAGTGATTTCTGTTTGTTAATAGTAAAAAGACTAAAATACCCTTAAAAGTTTGATATTTTAGTTTTTTATAAATTTAAAAAATTCTAAAAAACCCCCTAGATTTGCTAATTTAACTAAACACCCCCATATATAAAAAGTTTGTTAAATAACAAAAACACCCCCACCACCAGCAGTGCCAGATTCCAGCTACCACCGCCAAAAACTGGCTGGGAAATTGCGTTACGACACAGACCCGTCGGATCTGTGTCGTAACGTGTCTATCTGGCCTTTTCTGGCCAGATCCGTGGCTGATCTGGCCGGAAAAGGTCAGATCTACGACAAGATCTGGCCGTCGTGGCCGCAAAACTCCATCTGCGGCGTCGACGGCCAGATCTGGCCGTAGATCTGGCCTTTTTCGGCCATATCAGCCACGGATCTAGCTGGAAAAGGCCAAATCAACGCGTTACGACACAGATCCGACGGGTCTGTGTCGTAACACAATTTTCGGCCAAATTCCGGCAGTGGTGGCCGGAATCTGGCACTACAGGTGGTGGGGGTGTTTTTGTCATTTAACAAACTTTTTATATATGGGGGTGTTTAGTTAAATTAGCAAACCTATGGGGTTTTTTAGAAATTTTTAAATTTATAAAAAACTAAAATATCGAACTTTCAATGGCATTTTAGTCTTTTCACTGTTAACAAATAGAAATTACTAACAGCACATGACGGAAGGTACTTATTTGTCGTTTCCAAACCTTTTAGGTACCACTTTATTGTTACGGCAAACCTTGGGTATGCGCAAATCGTTTGGCCTTAAACTTATAAGGTGTTCAACGGTGGACTTTAAAAATTAGTTTAGACAAACGCACACTGACCCAAATATCTCGATTAAAAAAAAAAAAATTCAAACTTCAATGCATGACAATGGCCCAAAGAAAAGCCCATTGGGTCCGTTTGTTTTATTATTTTAGTCTTTAGATATGATTTTGAGAATAATAGTGAGTAATTGAATAGGGTGAGTATTATGAGGTAAAATTTAAAATTTAACATAAAATCCCCTTAGGTTTGCTAATTTAACTAAACACCCTAATATATAAAAATTTTGTAAAATGACAAAAACACTCCCACCCACTGATAGTGCCAGATTTTGGCCACCACCGCCAGAATCTGGTCAGAATCTAACATTATGATGCAAACCGATCGGATTTAGCCATACGTGCATCGATCTTGTTTTTTTTGGTCAGATAGGCTAGATCGACGACTAGATCTAGCCGTCAGCCGTCAACGACCGCAAAAGGTCAGATCTGACTGTCAACGATGGTAAAAAATATGGCTGTCGTTGACCGTCAATGATGACTAGATCGGTAAATTACTGACCAGTTCTAGTCGTTTGTAGGCTGTTGTGATAGATTCTGTGGTGATAGTCAGAATCTGACAATTATCGGTAGGTGAAGGTATTTTTATTAATTTTTAAACTTTTTTCTATAAATATTTAATGAAATTAATAAACTTAAAAGGTTTAAATTTTAAAAATAATTAAAAGAATATACTAATATTTTATAAATAATTAAATAAGCAAATATTTTGAGAATAGGAATGGATAGAAATATCCCAATATCTTTGATCCGACTTGGACTCGAATCCGTAATTGACCCAATCAATCCTTCGCCAAAAACACCTTACACTATTTTCTTTGTTTCAACCGTTGCTCAATCGTCTTCTGCTTTCGTCTCCCTCACAAGGCATCTTCTTCTTCTTCTTTATTTTAAATTTTCTATTTTCGTTTCTCTGTGGCTGTTCGCTTGTTTGTTTATGTTCCCGCTGATAATTTTATATTGATTACAATTCTTTTTGTTGATTGAAGTGGCTTATGCACCTTTGCACGACTGCCTTTTATATAATTAATTGAAATTTTAATATAAACCCTAACCAGTTGCTTAATGTTATATTCATTGTCAATTGCTGTCTTGCATAGCATCATGATGCAGAAAAGTTCATCTTTGTATATTAGTTGTCCTTCATTATTGCTTTTTTTTAAGGATATATGATTAGCACCGAGAATCTGGAACCTAGAGATTTTATAATTATATTATTTTCTTTTGAAGAGTTTAGGAAGCCAAACCTTTTGTTGTACACTATTAGTGAACGTAGGAGGTTTGTTTCCCTCGTTTTGGGGCTTATAAGACTTCAAAATCAGTTTAAAATCTTTCTTTGTAAATCAAAATCCAGTGATTCAGACGTACAGATTATTTTATGGTTGGTTGCTGCTGGAAAAATTTTTAAGTGGTAAATATGAGACCCTAATATATGCAGCCGATAGCTTGCCGGAGTTGCCTTGAAGTAAACCTAACAGATGAGGTTAATAGCATGCTAAGATTAAAGAAACTTTTTGCAAGGTAGAAATAATGTGACTAGTTATCTTTTACAAGAGATGTCCTTAAATAAGTTGTGAAGTCAACCTCCTTGTTATTATTATTTTTGGTGGCAATATGAAATATTTGTTAGCGGTTTAGTGGTAAAAAATGGAAGCAAATACGTTTGCATGTTACTATACATTTCCTAGTCTGTAGTGTGATTAAATGTTTGTAGGCTGATTTAGTTGACATTTGAATTTACTTATTTTTGTTATGCATGAAATAATGAATGATAGTTTATTTGTTGCAATATTATTTGACTGTGCAGGAGTTTGCTTTTTTGTAATCTATTTAAATTACAGCAGTGAAGATGGTTTCTGGGTTGATAAATGCAAATCCAACAGTGTATGAAAAGAAGGAACGACGAGTTCGAAGTTTCATTAGTAATGCAGACGAGTATGCTGTCGAACCAATTGACCAACAAGAAGTATTTGATATCCTTTTTGACTTTAAATCTGATGCCAGCAGTAAATCTCACGATGCTTATAATAACTGAGATAACATTTTTGTGGTTTCTGTGGAAACATAATCTGTTGCAAATATGTGTTTTTCTGTCTGTTAAACTTAGTAACAAATTATTTTAGCACAGTATGTTTCTTGACATTTTGTCTTTTTTCTTTTATAGAATCAATTATTTACGAATTAGAATAATTTGAAAAGGGATCAATGACTTCTGAACAAAACTGTATGATGGTTGTGTATTAATTTATTTCCTTAACATTCTTAAATCATGTAAGAGATATAAAAGATCCAGAGCACCCATACTCATTGGAAGAACTCAAAGTAATTACAGAAGATGCAATTGAGGTGGATGATGAGCATAGCTATGTAAGGTGAAAGGTTATCTTAATCGTGTTCATTATTTCATAATCAAGTTAGGTTGGAAAATTTAATGAATAAGTAATATGTTCTCATTCAGGGTCACATTCACTCCAACAGTTGAACACTGCAGTATGGCAACAGTTATTGGTCTGTGCTTGCGGGTGAAACTTATGAGGAGTCTTCCTATGCGTTACAAGGTATTAATTTGGTTGACAGCTTGCCATTTAATTTTTCTTCACCATACACAATTACTACATATGGGATCTATGGAAGTGTAATGGATGAAGTATTTTTTTATAGATCTCAGGATGATTTGTTACATTACTAGGGCCAGTGTATTCTAGTGCTGCTGTGTCATTGGACTAGGGGTTTATATGTTGTTTGATATTTCTTGATACTTTATATTACTAATTTGAGGCAAGGTTCTTTCTTTGAGTAGGCTTTGTTTCCTTTTTTATTTTTGTCTGGCTTGGGAAAGTGGGCCTATCTCCGGACAACCGAAATATGGGTTGTTTTGGAACAAGAAACTAGTATCATGTAGATTCATGATAGTTTTGTTGTGTTTTTGGGGCTGTTTAGGCTGTAGTAATATTTCTTTTTGGTTTGTTCTTTTTTGCACAGATTATACACATTCATAATAGTCTTTGTAAAGCCTTCGACCCTGATACTAGATGGGTTTTGTTGTTGTAAAGGATACCTGGTCCAATATCTGTTTTACTTCTTTATAGTATCAATAGAAAAAGAAATAGAAAAATAAACTTGATACTATGAATCCGTAATACCCGTTTGTCAATGGAGTTCTTCTTTCTTCTCTTTATCATGATTGGTTGTTCGGTTTCTCCTTCAAGGGCATTGTTGGTGCACAAAACTATAATTGTAGGAAGACATGGATCACCAATTAATGAGTATCAATATTTACGTTTTTAGCGGGTCCCAAAAAAATATCTCTAGTATATGCAGAATGATTGGAGTTTACTTGCTATAATCATTGTTAAGTGATTCATAAGGATGAAGTTTCCACATACTTGTGGCTGTGTCACTAGCCCTGCTGTTACAATATCCAGTCTTTTGTCATATTATGGTTTTAAGTTTCTATTTGTTGTACTTTATGGATGAAATTTACAATGCTTTATTGCTAAGCTGGTCTCAACACTGATTGTCTTACATGCATCTGACCACCCTCATTTCTATCATCACTTCACTTTCTAATTGTTTAAGGTTATTGTTAATAGGTGGATATAAGGGTAGCACCCGGAACTCATGCAACAGAAGCTGCAGGTACTTGCATGCTTTCTCACTTTCTCTTGTCCTGTTCTTTTTGTTATTTGGACTGGATCCTGCAAAAAGCTTCGTGCTCTTTTTGGTGGAGGGTGTCAATATGACTCTAATGTGGAGTTGAATTGTGACTTATGACCCCGCTCACATCTAAAGCCTATTAGATGTAGAACCACTGACCTTGATCACCGTTCTGGCATTATGTTAGGATCCCACATTGGAAGGAAAAATGGTGGACATGTAGGTTATAAGGGTTTTGACATCCTTTCTTGACAAGCCAGTTTTCCAAAGAGAGTTCTACCCAAGCCCATGAAATACTCGTGGCCCAATCCAATTGTTGAGTTATTGGAGTGGGTTTCTATCAATTGCTATCAGAGCATGATCCTATGCCTACGTGACAGGCTGACATTGGACGTAGGTTGTAGAAGTGTGGTGGAATATTAGAATCCCACATTGGAAGGGAAAATGATAGGCATGTGGGTTATAAGAGCTTGGGCATCCTCCCTTGGCAAGCTGGTTTTCCAAGTAGAGTTCTATCCAAGCCCATGAAAGACTCATGGTCCAACCCAATTATTGAGTTATTAGAGTGGGTTCCTATTACATTAGTACCATCTTGCCATGAACTTTGAGTTGTTTCCCTCTCTATAACTTATCCGTTTTCACAGACTAGTTAATTGGGTCTTATAGCATTTCCTGGATATGCTTTAATGAAATACAAAGGGCAGGTTTTGAATGGCATGATCGGATTATTGACTCTAGAAAATCTTATATAAATTATGTCATGGCATTTATACACTATATTCCTTTCTAATGCAGTTAATAAACAACTGAATGATAAAGAACGAGTGGCAGCAGCACTGGAAAATCCAAACCTTGTGGATATGGTCGACGAGTGCTTAGCCCCAACATATGGTTGAATGTATTTCTTCTGCCCAGCAATAGAGGACACTTCAACATAGGACACTTAAATATTGTCAGGCTTCTACTCATGTCTTGTTTTGGTCACCATTGTGCAATATCTTTCTTGACTTGTATCCGGATTTTATTGCAGTTTGTATAATTTAGTCCATGATAGGAAAAATAACGGTTAAATAGTTTCAATATCTCATCAACTTTGATTATTTACTTAATTAATTTAGTAATTATATTCAATTTTAACTCAAAAACTTTCAACATCTGGCTAGGTTAGGTAGAGTAACAACCCTGTTAAATGCAATGTTTTAAAACCCAACTCGGGGTGAAACTCGGCAAAGTAGTCGAGTCTTGATTGATCGGTTTGACTGGTGGGTCATACCTGTGCTCAAAGGTTTGAAATTTAACAAAAATACCCTTAAAAATTATGTGTAAGTCTTTATAGGTTTGAAATCTTGTAAAAAAACCCCAAACACCATCATTGACGTCGGTAAATAGGGCTTGTTTCCAACTAGGACAATACTCCCCATCACCAAGAAAACACTCCCTCCAACCTCCTGACCAAAACCCATTATACCACTCCCCTGTTTGCCTTCCAATCGTTGGCGATGACGGGCTTTTTTCGACGATATTGTTTTGTGATTTCCGATCGATTCACTCACCAAAAATCGTTGTCGTTGCCACTATTGCACTCATCGGTCATTTCTCTTCAAAAGTCCTAACATTTTGGTCTTCAATTGTTTATATATTGATGTCTTAATTTTTAGGGTTTTCAATGAATATGAAAATTTATAACCCGACCTGATGAAGGCTCTAGGTCGTGGTTCAATCGGTCGGGTTAGTCCGGGTTTTAAAACACTGGTTAAATGTTAATACTTCTTAACTGGGCTTTTTTTTTTTTTTTTTTTAATTTTTTATTTCTAGAACATGTAATAGTTTTTTTCTTTAATGGGCATAAATGAAGGATGTAACCCCCAACCATTTTATTAACGATGAAAGAGATGTGAAAAGCTTGCAAAGAAGGCAACCAACGTGATTTGCAATATTTTTAAATAATAAACTCATTTTATATTTAGAAAATATAATTATTTGTACTTCAACTTCCACCGCGCAACCTACAACTCTCTAAATAATTTTTTATTTATATATATATATTCACCATCTATAATAACTTTTTCACTTCATTATAATTAATACATGTTCTTCTGAAAGATCTAAATAAAAAGACATTTGGGGTTTGTTTCATGGAATGATTTAAGAAAGAAAAATTACTTTCTGATCCTTTGTTTGGGGCTTGTTTTCTTGATGCAGACTGAACACACCAGCTCAAAAATGGGAATAACAAGATAAATAACATTGACGCGGATCATTTTTAAAATTTAATTTTTTTCTATGTACAAAATATTTATTGACCCCAAGACTTTTAGTTAAAAAGCAATCCCCTCTGATTTCAAAAAATATCACTAACACCCCAGAATTTAACGGCAGAAATAAGAATACAAAAAAACTACGGTATAAGAATGCAGAGTTCTTTCTACCCTTTCAAATTTTCGGAATTTCATTTGTAGGTTCTCTTTTATTTTAGGTGAATTTATTGGAAAATTTTCAATTTTTGTTTCATTTTTATCGAGTTTATGGGATTTAGATGTACGGTACGGATACCAATTACTAAGGCCGTAGCCACGTAAGGCGTTCGGCGTTGGGTGTTACTAATAGTTTCTAAAACTAACAAGGGGTTGATAAAATTAAAGATTGGGGTTGTAAAAATTCCCCCATAAAAAACGTCGAAGACGGAACCAGAGTCTCAGACTCAGAGTGGGAGAGTTGGCAACTGTGCATGTGCTTTTAGTTTGTCGTTGTGTTGGGTACAAGTTAACTCTGCGAATCTGCAAAGTCACGAGCATTAAAATTCAAAACACACTTGTTTTAATCCAAACTTTTGATTTGAGGTGGCTTTGATCCTTTCCGATTTCAGAGACACAGTAAACAGAGCAAGATCAATGGCCGAGTAAGTTCATTCTCGATACCATCAATTATTACTATGCATAATTTGAATTGTTGTAATACATTTATATTCAAACTTTAGGATTGGGCTACAGTATTTTGATGTTATGAATGTGAAACTCTGCAGAGTGGTGGCTTCAGCTCCTGGGAAAGTGTTGATGACTGGAGGCTATCTCATCTTGGAGAGACCGAATGCTGGAATTGTTTTGAGTACTACTGCTCGATTTTACGCCATTGTTAAGCCGCTTTATGATGAACTCAAATCCGATAGCTGGGCATGGGTGCGTCCTTTCGTTATTATTATTATTATTATTTAATTTTAATTTTGCAGTAGTTTTTAGGAGTACCGAATTGTTTAATTGTTAGCCCTTGTTCAACTATGAACTTGGTTCGTTAATAAATCATTAGAAATTGAAGCTGAAGCTGTATTGTTTTCTTACATATGATAATAGTATAAGATCTGAATACTTTGACTAGAGAGTAATATGTTTGTCCCATGTTATTTTGTGAAATTAGATCATTAGGCCATTATACTGATCTATGATGATGATTTTATGTTATTTTTTAGATTTGAAACTGTAACTTTTAGGGGAAAATATCCAAGAATTGTTGTGTTTCTTTGCTGGCTTAATTCAGTGGATTTTGCAAACTAATTAATTTGTGCTTTTTTTACTATAAATTCTAGAGGGATACTGTTGCCATATTGTTGATTTTGCTTTTCTATATGACCTTTCAGGCTTGGACTGATGTCAAATTAACATCACCTCAGCTCTCCAGAGAAAGTGTGTATAAATTGTCACTCAAGAGTTTAGTTCTTCAGAGTGTCTCTTCAAGGTAAGGTTCATTAATTTTTGTTATTTGTCTGTTCTGCGATTTTCCCTACTTTAATCCACTGTATTTATTTATACATACTTACCATTTTTAATTCATTTGTATATCCTTTGACAAGTGTAAAGGTTAGTGAAAATATTGTGCCAGGTCCTTTTGACCAGGTAGCCTGGTTTGAAAAGCTCGCCTTCAGCTGATGTTTCTTCTCATTTTTTTTTTCCTATAATAACTAATTGTGAAAAATTGAGAGAAAACATACTTAAATTAATTCTTGAGATAATAATCATTATTTTTATTGGCTTAAAATTCCAGTGAATCGCGAAATCCTTTTGTGGAACATGCAATTCAATATGCAGTTGCTGCTGCTCATGCCACATTTGATAAGAATAAGAAGGATGAATTACACAAACTACTCTTGCAGGGTAATGTTTGATGTTTCAGTGTTACTCTATTCTTTCAACATTATATAAACACTGAAACAGAATCTAATGTTCTAAACTACACTAATTCTGCAGGACTTGATATCACAATTTTAGGTTGCAATGACTTCTATTCATATCGGAATCAGGTATTAGCCCTTTCTAGTGATTAAATAATTTTTTCAAAAGAGGAAAAAGCTTTAGTAACGTCTTTTTTTTCAATTAAATGTCCCTTTCTTAAGTGTATCTTGTCGCGTGTTTCTTTGACCATGCTAAACCATCATTTACAGTGGTTGCTGGACATTCTGTTTGCTGTTTCTGGTATTATAGTTGAATGCTCTATGGTGCCAAAAGCTTTTATATAGGAAAGCTTGCCAGTTGTTTTCTTGCTTCCAATATTTTGAGATTTCTGGTTGATGAATTTCTGTTTGAAATCTTTGTTAAAGATGTCAATTGGGTGTACCAATTTTCACAGATTGAAGCACGTGGGCTCCCTTTGACACCAGAAGCATTAGCTGTCCTTCCACCCTTTACATCAATAACCTTCAATGCAGAGGATTCAAATGGAGAAAATTGCAAGCCTGAAGTTGCAAAAACTGGATTGGGTTCGTCTGCAGCAATGACAACTGCTGTGGTTTCTGCCTTACTTCATTACCTTGGGGTGGTTAATCTTTCCTTTTCCAATGACCAACAGAATGAAAAGAAGGATTCAGCAGATCTTGATGTTGTACATATGATAGCTCAAACTGCTCACTGTATTGCACAAGGGAAGGTTGGCAGTGGGTTTGATGTCAGTTCTGCAGTTTATGGCAGCCAGCGTTATGTCCGGTTTTCACCAGAAGTGATTTCTTCTGCTCAGGTCTTTCTTTCTCTCTCTCTCTCTCTCTCTCTCTCTCTCATTTGTGTGTGTTGTGGGAATACATCATCATTAATTTCATCATAGTCATCTGTCTCACTCTTATGTGTGATATGATGGAACACATTATTTATGTCTAAATTTTATTGTTATATAAAGAGATCAGCTCTTTAAGTAAAGTGGTGGTTAGTAGCTATTTTACCCAATTACATTGTAATGGTGATCTATGTGTAGATATGAATATGAAATACTGGTGAACTAGCTTCCCTTTTCCTTCCATTTAGTATCTCTTCGACTTGGTATGAATAAAGAAATTTAATCATATTATACACAGGAGTTCTGATAGTTGTCTCTTGATAATTATTTTGGAGTCATTTTAATTATTTTTCCTCTGCAATTTTGCAGGTTGCAGTTAGAGGAGCACCATTAGAAGATGTTGTTGCTGATATCCTAAAAGGGAACTGGGATCATGAGAGAACTAAGTTTTCCTTGCCACCATTGATGAGTCTCGTAAGCAAGCTGAAGTCTTTAAAGATGCTACTTATTTCAATATATGTTTGTGCATGCATGCCAGTTCATATAAAACACTATTTTCTTGGTATAATAATGTTTTTATGGTAAAAGTATTCTCCATATAGAACATTTTTTTTCATTGGTTACTGCAAGGCATGAAATGTATCTTCTCTCAATTTTTGCATCAAATTCTCAACTTTCTAGTAATTTTTTCGTCTTCTCCATTGCATTTATCATCAGTCAATTCCAAAACACCTTTTTGATTCATTTAAAAATTCTTCGTTCTTTATGATGGATCGGAATTTTTGTAAATAGCATGCCAATGATGTAGAGGGCTTTCTTCAAAGAGTCTTGTGCTTGCTAAGTGCTATTCTAGAAGTTAAGAATGCATAATATTGTGATTTTGGAAAACAGTGTTTGAAACTCAGTTAAGCAGCTCTAGTGGATTTGAGCATGTACTGTTTCTTAATGTGCAAAGAAATAGAATAATTATGTTTTGTTGCTATTCTTTTCCTCGTTCTCGAAAACCATGGAACCACAATATGTTCACTTTCAAAACATAAAATATTGTTTTTGGGCTTCAAACTATCAGCTTGAGCTTTGGGGATTAATAGTTGCTTATTATTTTATCAAAGCCAGTTTGACCAGGAGGTTTATATTCAAATCTCGCTTACAAGCTTAAAATTTTGACTTAAGTAGTTACTTAATGCTCACTGTCATTATATGGCTTTTCTCAGTTGTTAGGAGAACCGGGAACTGGTGGGTCATCCACACCTTCAATGGTTGGTGCAGTGAAAAAGTGGCAAAAGTCTGACCCTGAGAGATCCCAGGAAACATGGAGAAAGTTGTCAGAATCAAATTCTGCACTTGAAACACAACTGAGTATGTTAAGCAAATTAGCAGAAGAACATTGGGACACATACAAATGTGTGATAGAGACTTGCAGCAGGCTCAAGTCAGAGAAGGTAATAGTTCTTGGTTTATTTAGCCCACACTTTCCAGGGACATAATATTTAAAATACAATTACCTAGTGACTTTCAGACAACAAGATAAACCACAAAAAATATAAGTCCTATCGGATTGCGAGTTATTCTCATGAACTTTGTTATTTCAATGGTGCCAATGAGCAGATTTTTTATTTACTTTTTCTATTTACCTTTCCATGGTTCCTTTGAAATTTTGACTTTTCCTCATGTTTGATGGCATCGTAGAAAATCTACACCAAGCATTGGTAATATGCTGATTATTTTTTGTTCTTGAATTTGCTCCTATTCAGGCCACCATGATAAATTCCTACTCAATACGGTCTGCTAGGAAGCATGAAGTTGTTTTTAACTTATCAATGATAAAGAGAGTAAAACATCTAAAGGGGTGCATCTTTGTACCTTGAAATGCAGTTATTGTTAAAATATATGAAGTGCTTCTTGAGATCCAATTTCAAATTGTAATTTCTAAAGTAGGGGCATGGTTTTATCATGGTGTTCAGTGTGGAAGTTGTTGAGACTATATGATTTATTGATTTTATCAAGTTTAAACTTTTACTTAAGTTTTTCTTTTTCATGACCATTCATGCTTGTAACATATACTTGTATATTTTTTCTCCTTTATTCTGATTATTGATGTTTGAGATGATTTCCCACATTGCGATGACAGTGGATGGAGCAAGCCACTGAACCAAGTAAGGAAGCAATTGTTAAATCATTGTTAGGAGCAAGAGATGCTATGCTTTGGATTAGATATCATATGCACCAGATGGGTGAGGCCGCAGGTGTTCCGGTGGGTTATTTTCCCTTAAATACGATATTTTTTTTTTTTTAATTAAAAAAAAAATTTCTGTTTTTTGCTTTAATGCACTTCCTTTCTTTTTTCTCCATATAAAATGGCTTGGTTGATTCATCTTCCAAGCACCCTACTTCTCAAATGTTCCAACAAAATGCAACCACAACCTAGTATATTATATGGATATAAGATGACTTCTGCGTAGAACATACTGAATGATGCCATTTAAGAAATTCTGAACTCAATTTTCAAAGCCAATTTCAGAAAAAGAAAATGGATTAATGATGAATTAGGAAATGCAGCATTTAATATTTTGCTTAAGCAGTTGCTTTATTGGTCTTACATCCTGTCTGTCATGTCATCACTTCTTATATTCTCCCCGACTTTCTCAAATTGCAGATAGAACCTGAGTCACAAACTCAGCTTTTAAATGCTACTATGAACATGGAAGGAGTTTTGTTGGCCGGAGTTCCTGGAGCAGGTGGATTTGATGCTATTTTTGCTGTTACATTAGGGGATTCAGGCAGCAACTTGACCAAAACATGGAGTTCACTCAATGTTCTGGCATTGTTAGTTAGAGAAGACCCTCGCGGCGTTTGTTTAGAAAGTAGTGATCCACGAACCAAAGAAATTACATCAGCCATTTCTTCAACTCACATTGAGTAAGCCCACATTGTTCATTCTTATTTTAATAAATTATAAACATCATCTTGAGATCTAGTGTGAAAATTTTTGGGGACCTTTTTAGCTCTGAAGGGTTTGAAAGATAGAGAAACCTTTATCATGCAGTTTAATTAGTTATACATGTTGTGAGTCCTCCAAATAGTGTACAATAAAAGTAACTCTATTCATAAACCTTTTGTTGTTCCATTTTCTTAAACTTTATGCGCATTTAACACAAATTGGGGAGAAAGTCTTTTGTACATCCTATGTCACATCAGTGTTAGTAGAAGACACTTAATTTCTCGTTGATTAGTTGTATTGCAACATGATGCATGGAGGTATTGGACTGGGATTATGCATGAATATAGAGGTGGGCATTTGGGACTGGGTCCAAAAACTCAACCCAAAAACCCAATTTGGGACCAGGCCCAAGGAGGAAGGCCCGGTCCCTCCACTGGGCCCTCCTCCGGTCCCAAGCCCAGGTCCAAATTTTTTTAAATATTTTCGTTTTAGTCTCTTATACAATTACATAAAACCTCTTATAAATTTTGAAACAAACATAAATTATAGGGGTTCAAATAAAAATTTACAAAATTCATTAAAAAAAAATTTTCCAAGCCTGAAAAATATTAAAAACCCCTTACAAAATTTCGTTTCTCCCCTAAAATATAAAAAAAATCAAGGGGAAAAGAGAAATTTTTCAGGTCCATCGGATCGGTCCTAAGGACTGGTCCGAGTTTTAAAATTGCTCATGGGCCTGGGACTGGTCTTAGGCCCATGAGCGACTGGTCCCATTCGGGACCAGGCCTGGGCCTGCATGGGACTAGTCCTTGACCAGCTCTACATGAATGAGTGGAAAAGCAATTGCTAGCTTCTCCAGTCTGTCTCTCTTATCTTCTTCATCTACATATGTGAATTCAATCTTGATATTTGGAACATGTATATAATAAATGTCAAAACATTTCAGACATAGAGACATTAGAAAAAGGAAAAATCTATGAGGGTGTCAACCTTTTTTGTTTAAATTTGAGGGAAAATTCTCCAAAATATCAATTTGGCATTGACCTTTTGTTGTCTTCAAAACGACCAAATTTTTTCTCCAAGTGGATTAGGCAAAGTGGTCACCAAAACCACATTCAGGGATAATGGATGTCTCAGGCTCTCAGCTGTCTTTTTCCAACTCATTGACTTTTAATTATTGATATTTTCAAAGAAGACAGGAATTTATCGATACGGTCGTGTAGTATAATCTCCTTGCAGGCGAGTACACAGGCTTTGCTTTGCTTTGCGATTAGGCCGACTCCCACTTACCTTTCAATTAGGCTTTGCTTTGCAAAATCAGATAAAAGCATGACGCACTTGACTAAAGAATGGTTAGTTCTTTACCATATCTCCTAGGAAAAATATCATTTATCCCCAATAATTTGGCCTACTTAATTATGGACCCGTTAATTTGAAGAAGAGATAGAAACTTATGACAATCAAAGCATCTACATTCTACACATAAAAAATAGGGATGGAAAAGAAATCAAATTTCAATAATGCTAGGTTCACGAACTTCTCTCACAACCTCAACTCGTCATGAGTTAGTTTGCAAATGGGCAAATAAGACCCATGGTAGGATCTATTTTGCGAGTTGTCATATCGGGGATTGTAATAGAAGGATGTGAGATTGAGTTATGGATCTAGTATTACTCTTCTTATTTACAAGATTTTAACTCCATATCTACGTTACAATGATTCAAGCCATTTTATTGTTAATAGATTGATTCTATGATACTGGGATAACATTATTTTACTTGAAGTCTTGAACCATTAGATTCTGATTCAATTTTCCTAGTGAAGGTGATGATATTACGCAGTATAGTAACTAAACTCCTAGAAAATTAATCAAGCCAAGTATGAGTAGAGGTAGAGCCTAACAGGAAGCCGTTGTGCTGGTGTTGGGATTATACCACCTAAAATCTGTTCATCGGGAAATATTATCTCCCATTTGAAGTTCTTCACAACATGATGCAGAAAAGACAGCATTAAGATTCTAGCATACTCGTTTCCAGGACATGTTCGAGGACCTCCTCCAAACGGGACATTACAGTAACGAGGAGGACCATTCTTATTATTTGTTTTCTCAAACCTCATTGGATCAAACTTTTCTGGCTCCGGAAAATAATCAGGATTCTTGTTCGTGGTACATACTGACCAAAAGATCTATACATCCACATAAAAAAAAAATGCAAAATTAGTAAAAAATTTATATAATTTCCTTACAAAAACATAAAAAATGTTGTAATTTGTTATGCCTGGAAAGGCAGGGCTGACGCAGAGCCCTGTCAGCATAAGTGGTCAAAGCTTAGGTAAGTCCAGTAGCCGTTCAGATGCAGCCACGTTGTACGCTGACGCAAGCTGCATGCTCCTGTCAGTGCAGTAGGTGTGCGCCAGGCTGGTGAAAGGCTGGAGGTAATCCACATGTCCAATCCCTGCAAGAGTTGAGTAAATCACTCGAGCAGGCGAATAACGGGACGCAAGGAAGGATTTGCACATCAATCTGACCCACTCCCTGATTTAGTAATCATTACCTCAATTTATCCCACTATAAATAGAGAGTTCTTCTCTCGTTTGTGGGATTAACTAATTTCTCTCTGGAATAGCATATATATATTCCCTTTCTTGTAATCTCTTGTAAATCAGCTCGCTGAATGCGACATGATCTCATATATTAATATTATACCAGTGGATGTAAGATTCGCTTATTTAAGCATCCGAAACACTTTAAATACCGTTCTTCACTCTTTATTCAGTTCAACACCCCCATACACGAGTGTTATCTGAGTCAGCTTAGCATTTCCCACGTGCGTTTAGTTGGTGTTAAAATCACGCATCAACATAATTAATTGATAATCTATACCTTCCAGCCCATAGGAATGTTATAACCTTCATAATTGAAGTCCATTTTAGCCTCTCTAAAGGTTCCTTGAAATGGGGGTATGAATCTCATCACCTCAAGTGCAACATTCCATGAACATTTCATCTTCTGTAAGTCATCCCAGTTTAGAGGCTCGCCATGTTTCTTCGAGCTTGCGATTTCCAATTGTTCTATTTCAAAAAACATATGCATGAATTGTGATAAAGAAAATTATAAGAATTTACTAAAGCATTAATTTATATCGACAAAAGAAAATAACAAAAATGTGTTGGGTATTTTTGCAGCATTGAAAACAACATTAACATATATATAATTAATCTAAATGGATTCCTTTTAATTAATTAATGCATTTTAATAGACAATTTGTCAATTTCTTTTATGGCTTTTAAGGTTTAATTTGTATGTTCAAATAGAAATGCGTAATTCTCTGAAGGGTTGAGAATATTTACACAAGTTTTACGAAAATTACAAACTCTAAAAAATCTTAACAATGAGATGACACTAAACTAATCACTCTAATGTTGAAGTCTCTTTGATGGTTGCTCAGGTCAACTCTTTGTGGTAATTGTACACGGCAGCCATGTGTTACCCGGGGGGGGGGGGGGGGGGGGGGAAAGTTTTACACTCAAAAGGTTAACATGTTAGATGGAGGGACTCCCCTTTATAAGCCTAAAATCTCCCTAATATGCTTCTGATGTGAGATTCGCTACATTCTCCCCAACCAATTTTGTGACGCCTTCGTCACAAATGGGGTCCCTTACCTACCCGTCCACCTCCGAGACATCAAAAGACAGACCAAGTCTGCTCTAATACCACTTGTCAAGGACTAAGAGTTTTACATCCAAAAGGTTAACCTATTAGGTAGAAAGACTCCCCCTTTTATAAGTCCAAGACCTCTTCAATACGCTTTTGATAACTTTAAAAGAGTGAAGTCAACTCTTTGATAGTTTTATGGTCGAGAAGATCAAAGTAGTACTTTAACTGATATGTTTAACTCTTTTTAACAATGAATCTCCAATATGTAAAGAGGGATAAAAAGATGGAAAATAATACAGTTACCGAAAGAAGTACACCGAATTCATGCACTGAATGACGTGTGAAATCTTGACCATCGATTAATATTAACTCAATATTAATCAACGGTCAGGATTTCTTCACATTATTCAGTATATGAATTCGGTGAGCTCCTTTCGGTAACTGTAGCATTACTTTAAAAAGATAAGCAATTTGAGTTCGAAACAACGGATGAGTGAGACATGCAAAAATCTCAACGTAAGGCGTATCAATTTTCCAACTATAGTTCATGCATGGCATTGCAAATTTTGGATGATTGATCGATGATAATTTTATTTTCCAATAAGAATATGCTGATACTGATGAGATCGTCTTGTCGTTGCCTTGACGATGGTGATGATGCTAAAAAGATGGAGAATATAATATAATGGAAGTGAGTCATGTGAAACAATTTCCATGAAATGGCTTGAAGGTGATGAAGAATAATAATATTAGATACTAACATTAACAAATATGCCCATCCATGTGAGAAATGATAATTCATTAATTTTGTGTATATTCTAATCTTAATACATTATTAAGCATTAGAAAAGCACCATCAGATCAATCTAGAATCATACAAATACTTGAAAAAAAAAATGGAAATATTCTATATATATAATAAAAGCATATTTTTGGGTGTTATATATAATATATATAGTAAAACCTCTCTATAATGATATTTTATATAAGAATAAATTTTACATGATTATAAAAAATTTGATTCCTAACCTGGGATAGTTATAAATAAGAATGAACTTCATATTGTAATAAGTTATAATTTTTCTAATTTCCGTCTTAAGGAAAGTTGCTTCCACATAATAATAATTTTATGTATATTACCAAAAAAAAAAATAAAAATATTATTTGATACATTAAAGGTTTAAGATGAAATAAAATATTTATTTAAAGTTGTTTAGAATAATGATTTATACTTTAGAGTTGTTACCACATCTTTTAACTTGTGGATACATTACTCGTTAGCATGGACATCTTCTTGTTGAAACTAAAATATTTATAGCTTCTCAAGCATGTTTGGAGCTTCTCGGCACGGAACTATTTGTATTTCCATACTATCATCCTCATAATTATTTCC